GTTTTCCTTGTCCGACCTGTTCTATGTCTGTTCCTCAGTACATTAGCAGTTTCTTTTACAGGGCATTTCAAATTGTTGTGTTCGCTATGCCCAGTGTTTGTCCAATGGCTCTGATCGATTTTCCTTCATTTCCCAGCTTCAAAATGGCTTCCTTTTCTCCCATAGACAGCTCTTTCGTCTTCATCTTTGTTTGTTCTTTTTAACAAGAAATGCAGTCTTTGCAGGTGAAACTGAAGCTATTAATTGTTTAAACAATTAATCTAAAAGACAACACCTGGGCGGCACGAAACAAGTGTTTCGTGCTGCCCAGGTTTCACTAGTTTTGCTCACTTGAAAAATGGGCAGGTTCAAACAAAAGGTGATGTGTCCTAAGTTGTTTAACACACCTGAATGCAAATTGCAGGAAATAAAAGCAGAAATTCTCAACTCTTGTTGCATATGCATCTGTTGATCTTAAACCCAAATGTATTCAATGAACAACAAAGACAAAGGAATTGCCGCTCCAAGACTTTTGGAGGAACTTTCTCTCTCTCTCTCTCTCTCTCTCTCTCTCTCTCTCTCTCTATATATATATATATATATATATATATATATATATATATATCAGTGGCTACTCTAGTTCATCAGTGTTTGTCGGACTCGTTACAATCTTTAACGAAATATACTATTGGTATAACTTAGATGTTAAAATGATTCCTTTTTGCTCTAATATAAATACATATATATATATATATATATATATATATATATATATATATATGTGTGTGTGTGTGTGTGTGTGTGTGTGTGTGTGTGTGTGTGAAAAGTGTATATAAATATAAATAAATATATATATGTATAATTATTTATATATTAAATGCGCGGTACTTATTAGAAAGCGCTCAATATCAGAGATAGAGCTAACATATTAGTTTGTCTGACGATCGCTAAAGCGTGAAACCCAGGGTCACAAACTCACATCTATCAACCAAATATATATATATATATATATATATATATATATATATATATATATATAAATCTATGTGCATGAAATTAAGGAAAAACACATTTACAGATATATAAGGAAAAAAGTCCGAAGGCAAAGCCAGATATGTTTTTTAAATAACGTGTCTATCTCAAGTGTATGTTTGTATATATGTCTATGCGTTAGTGTGTTTATGTATCTCTCTGTCTCTGAATTTTTTCGTTTAATTTATTGTACAATTTTATGATCAGTACTGGTGACTGATATATTTCCTGAACACTACCCCAGTGATATTCCTCACTCTAACCCTCCGGTAGACGAGTTAACGCTGCAACTTTATTTGATTTGCGCCGAATTTAAGGTCGGACTAAATTTAATTTGCTCTTTCTCAAAAGATACATTCCGCTGCAAAATAAATTATATAAAATGGACATTTGAGAACAATAAGTTGAAATAAAAAGGAAACAGAGAAGGACATGCAAGTCATTAGAGATTATCTAAAAATTATTTATAAAATTAAAGCAAGAAATACATTGACTATTAAGAATGTCTCCAGCTTCGATCAGGCTCAGGCCTACTGAGTCCGACTAACCACACTAATTTTATTTAATTCCTTTTTTGACTTGTTTTCTTTCTTTCTTTTCTTTCATCCTTCTTCTTTATTTCTTCTTTATTATGAACAATATCGGCGAAATAGATTTCAGTCAATATTTTGAGGCACGGAATTAAAAACAATTAATTTTTGGTCCAGCGGGTCGCCACTGCTATATATATTTATCTCTCTCTCTCTCTCTCTATATATATATATATATATATATATATATATATATATATATATATATATATATATATGTATGTATAATAAAAGGCTTAAACACTAATATTCCATGGTCATAATTTATTCCATTGAAATCGTAAATACGATCCAATTCATCAGACCTACAAATTCAAAAAGAAAACAGAAAAAAACAACTCCAGAAATAAAAATAGAATTTAGAGAGAGTGTAAGTATGAGAGTGTGGGACGAATGTTAGAGTTAAAGAGAGGGGTAACAGACGAGAGAAGGTGGGAGATTAAACCTTAACATAGAGAAGTTTAGGAGAGGTGAGTGGAAGGGGGAAATATGAATGTTGTCGGATGTCTAATACATTAAAAATACATTTCGTGGTGACATACACACACCATAGACGATCTAATGTTAAAGATCAGTATAAGAGGGAGGGAGAGGAAAGGAAAGAAGAAGGGGTGGGGTGAAAGATGGGGCGGGGGGAAACTAAAACTGAAGGGCATTTACTGAAAGGGACGCTGTGTAATTAAGAAAATTTGACAAACCTAGATTCTATCCTCTTGGAATGTTTTATTCCAAAAATATACATGTATGTGTATGCACCTATGTATATATATTTATATATTTTGCATATGTATGTGTATATTTACCACTAATATTAGCTATATATATATATATATATATATATATATATATATATATATATATATATATATATAATTAATTAATACAAGTAAACGGTTTGTCACTGTGCCGATTGCTGTTACCTTCAGTATCGTGACACCAGAGTTTCGTAGATCATCCGCGAATCACGCCGTCCACTTCTCACGGGGTATAAGCAATTGACGATATATATATATATATATATATATATACGGTGGAATTGAAACTTTCTTAGTGCAGTCACAGCTTTGCTGGGCTGTTCATGTTGCAAGAATGAGTGACGGCAGAATACCTAAGGTCCTTATGTATAGTCAGCTTGACAGTTGACAAAGGACTTCTGGACAGCTGTGGCTCGGGTTTAAAGACAAGCTATAGTAACCTCTCAGCTGTCAATGTGCCTCACCGGAACTTTGAGCGAGTCTTTCCGGGATCGAAACATCTGTAGTAACAGAAATTTCGAAATCAGTCGCATTGACAAACTAAGTGACGAAAGACAACGGCGAATAGAGTCAGCAAATATTACTGTGCCTATGACCCGAGATCCTCGCTGTTGCACAATATGTGGACACATATGCAGGTCACTAGAGGGACTGAAGTTTTTCATATGGCACAAACATAAAAACTAAATGAGATTGGCAGATCCTCACGTCAAAATCGACCGGAGAGTCCACCACACACACACACACACACACACACACACACACACACACACACCACCCATATATATATATATATATATATATATATATATATATATATATATATATATATATATATATATATATGGTGTATCAAAACTTAATAACACGAAAAACGAAGAATTTACGGAAATACGTGTATATAGACGCTTGTTCTTATTTGGTGCAGGGGGAAAAAAACGCCCGCTAAAGTTTGTAAAAGTATTTTTGATACACCTATATATATATATATATATATATATATATATATATATATATATTAGTGGTAAATATACACAGACATATGCAAAATATATAAATATATATATATACATAAGTGCGTGCATGCACACACACACACACACACACATATATATATATATATATATATATATATATATATATATATATATATATATATATGAAATGGTTATCCAATTAAAATATGTGTTTGGATAAAAATATGTCGAAGTAAAAAAATAGTATATATACAATATACTATATTTTTTTTAATTCGACATATATTAATTGAATAACCGCATTTCAGCAGATGTTCCGTTTTATTTTATTTCGTCTACCGGCCTGCCCACCCGAGAAAACATAAACATGTATCACCCGGCATAATTCAAAAATGTGTTCCCCGTTGCAGATTTCTTGAATGGCATATCTTCTAAATTTCGTATCCGAAACAAAGTAATTTCTAAAGAATTAATGGATTTTCTATTATTCGTTTTCTTTAAAGTGTAAGTAATTCTGATATGAACACTTTATCCAATCAAAGTCGGTTGGCCGTTCTCCTTCCACTGCCTATGTCTAGGGATAATGTTTAGTTTTTAGTTTTTTATTTAAATAAAACTTTAAGTTCATAATTCCGTGTCGGCTACCCAGATCTATATACACCTGAAGAAGGTGGAAGAGCCCAACGGCCGAAATGTTACGATAGCAACAACAAAGATGGGGACAATAGTTCAAATATAATGAGTGTAAATAATGATAACTCCACATCCCAAAAATTCAGACAAGTTTTTAATGTTTATGTAATTTTTAATTAATTTCTCTCATGAATTTTACGATGCCGTACTTTTTTTCAATTATTTCACCCTCAGCAAGGCAATAAAGCCACTAAGACGCAAAGAGAAAGAACAATAAAAGAACAGAAGATGCTGATTGAATTGCATTTACATTTTTTAAGCTGAAAGAGACATGCACAAGAGAGAAGTACCAAAGAAGAAACTGTTAGCATAGAACTTACGGTTACATATAGTTATTTCAACTGTATATGATGAGACCTTGCGGCCAATCTAGTACTGCGCTTAAATTCGTTATGTTGTGGTACCAAAGAGGGGCATCCTGGGTAAGACGATAAACTACGCCCGACAGCAACTCCTCGGATCAGGAAGTTTCGAGGAGTTTGGAACCACCTCTTAGTTGCTGGTGTTCCCAGGTCCAATATGACTCGGGGTGGTAGCGCCTGTCAGGGTTCTAGCTACGGGCAAATAATGAACCTCGCAAAAGTGTCAAAATGAAAGTATAAAAATATGTTTTAATACCAGCAGTACTTTTTTGGAAAATGTTTTACCAGCAATATATTTTTGAAAAAAAAATTTAAAGCAATACATTTTTGAAAAAAAAAAATACCAGCAATACACCTTTAAAAAAAAATACTATCAGCAATATATTTAAAAAAAAAATATTACAAGCAATACATGTTTGAAAAATAAAAATATTACCACCAACATATTTTGGAAAAAAAATATTACCAGCAATATATTTCTTGAAAAAATATTACCAGCAGTATATGTTTGGAAAGAAATATTGCCAGCAATAAAAATCTTATCGGCATTAAATAACCCATTGAGGTTGATATACCGTAAAACAAACCAAACCAAACCAAACCAATATATAC